TGAAAGCAAAGATATATGTTCTCCTAAACTCCTGTGCGTTTGTAGGTGGCAGTGTACAGAGTAGTATGTTGGTGGGATTGGTACGTCACGAAGGGAAATGGACAGCTTTGGGAGGATGAAACGAACTACGACCCATCGGAGAAACAGTACCGAAGTCACCCCGCGAACATCATGAGCCTAACCGAAGTAATAAGTGGCCATCTTGTCCATCCCACTGCGCCCCTTTTTGGCCCCTCGCAGCCTTGTCACGTAGCAGGTCAGAAAATACACAAACTTCACTACAATCGTACCAAGTGACAGAATATGCTTGACATTAAAATAGTGACGAGTTTTGATCTCACACCTCGCTGAAACTATGGCAAACTTCTACACATGTGGGTATTAAAGTGACAAGGCTGAATAGAGCGCAGCTATGCGTGACAATATTGGGGAAGTCGGCATATTGTCGAGACAATCACTGTGGCCCCTCGGTGGTGGTCTTAGCCACCTCCTTTTCCGCAGCAACACTCTCAGACTGTGGTGTAGATGATCCATGCGGGTTGATGCCTTGGGTGATCTGAGCGTTGATCTGGGCAATCGAACTGCGACGGTTTGTCGCCTCGTCCTGGAACAGTGACCACTCGCCAATGAGCTCGTCAGAGAACTGGTCGAGATCCAGACCAATGATTTCCACCTCGTCTGTCACTCTTAGGTGCAGGCCAGGGATGTACTTGAGAATCAACAGCATGATGACAGAGAGAGTGAAGGACCAGCCAGCAATGGCAGCGATCTCAGCCAATTGCTTGGCAATCTGGACGCCGTGGCCGTCGATGGCTCCTTGAGCGATGGTGAAGCCATCGAGAGATGAGACAGAGGCAGAGGCAAAGATACCCGTCAGGAATGCTCCGCACATGCCACCGATTCCGTGCAGTTTGCTATTGATCCCAAGTCAGCGCTTCGATCAATCATCAAGTTACAGTCGGTACTCACAAGACTTCCAGACCATCATCAATGTGGAGCCAATCATTAATAGGCTCGCTCAAGTTGACCACAATGGCGGTGATGAAACCAATGGCAGCTCCACACCAGACAGACACGTAACCGGCGGCTGGTGTGATACCCACGAGACCGGCAATAACACCCTCGCAGGCGCCGACAACAGAAAATTTCCGGTGCTTGATGTAATCCATCAACACCCAACCAGCGACACCAGTTGAGGCGGCCATGTTGGTGTTCCAGACGGCCATCATTGCTCGAATGCTGGCGTTCAGAGCAGAGCCGCCGTTGAAGCCAAACCACCCGAACCAGATGAGGACTGTTCCAAGGAAGACAATGGTGACGTTGTGGGGTTTGTAGACGTGCTTCTCGCCATATCGACTTCGCTTGCCGAGGATAAGTGCGTATGCCAAGCCCGCGGTTCCGCTAGAGATGTGGACGGGGCCACCCCCAGCGAAGTCAAGAGCACCAAAGGTGAACAGCCAGCCATTTGCATTCCAAGTCCAGTAGGAGATCGGGCAGTAGCAGATGGTGGCCCAGCAGAAGCCGAAGATGATAGACGGAAGGATGCGACCGCGTTCGAACGAGCCACCCACAACGATCATGGTCGCGCAGGCGCAGAACATTAACTCATAGAAAGCGAAGACGATGTCGGGGATAACAGCAGAACCCCATGACGGCGCGGCCATGACCTAGAATAAAAACTCAGTCTTGGTTTGTCTCGGAATTTCGTGGTCGACCTTTCAGGCTTTCTTACATCAATCATTCCGAAGTTCTTCAGGTCGCCAATGAAGGGACCGCCAGTTCGTGAGAAGGCGAGGGAGAAGCCCCAAAAGGCCCATTGAAAGGTGCACACGGCCATAACGGTCAGGGACTGGAACACCATGGCCAAGGCAGACTTTCTGCGCGTCATACCACCGTAGAGAAGACCGATGCCGGGAACAATCACAAAGACGAGACATCCCATCAACACCTGGTAGACATACTCGTACTCCAGGCCCGTGTACGGCAAGTTGACGTCTATCTCCTGCGGGTTGCCTCCATTCGCCATGCTGGAGTTGAACTCCGGCTAGGTTTGGGGTTAGCATAGAGGCCTCAGAAGAGTTGGTGAAGACGAGGAACATACAGCGACCGGAACTGGTACTGACGCCATGGCCGTAGGTTCAAACAATACTGGGTGTCGAGTCTTGGAAGGAACACCCTGCTGCGGGACAAGAGTTTGATGCAGAGAGTTGTGGAGACGGGGGGGACAGACCTACATACTATATACTTGTACCTGTCAACGGATATCGGAAGCAAAGGTCCAGCATGGCGAGAATGACAGTGGCAAATCTTTTCATTACCAGACCACCTCCACGCTAGATGCCAGTCCAAAAGGTATCCGTTGTTCTTGTTCTCGTCATCACACCCACAGGAGTACCCTGTAGTACTATGTTTGGCCTCGAAGCGAGGCGCTCGAGAATTTTTTCTTTATTCTGGGTCCCCAGACACGGGAGGCTTGCGGGCCTTGTCTCGAATGGGACAGGACAGCCGACTTGGTAATGGCGGTCCTGAGACTAAGCCTGACTTGATAGAGATAGATGGACAGAGGAGATTGGCCGGTAGCAAAGACGCTGCAAATACCTGGAGCAAATGGGTTCGTAAGGCCCCTGAATACGCCTCGTGGTTTGACTGCTGAGGTTGTAAGATTAAGATTAGCGAGCCTTGCTCTTATCAGTGGAGCCTCGCCAAGACATGTGCCAAGCCCCATATCTCTGCTTGCTGGGCCAATGGCACGGGACCTGTCGGGATAAGCAGGACCTCCTCTGCCACCAGCTGCCGCCTCCGCTGCGTGAGTGCTTCCTTCAGGACTCTTTGCAGGCTCCTCATCTTGCAACAACTTTCTTCTGTCTTCGCCCTGTGGATCCGGAATCCTTGAGGCGGCATTGGGTTGCCGTGAGAGCCAAACATGTCCGCCCCAGCACCACCCCAAGCACACTCCGACTCCGGAGAGGGAACCTCCTCCCCACGGCCGCCCGCCTCCCGCACGGCCTGGCGGTCGAAATCTCGCTTGCTCATGGCATGGTCGTAAGTTAATGTATGCCGATGGTCTTGGTACTTTGGCAGGCAGTCCTTGGTAAGGAGTCCGTCCTGGAGACTTCGGCTATGCGTGTCACGAGAGCGAATGAGCAATTACTTTGAATCAAGTCGGCTTCGCTCACGGCAGGAATGTGTGCGCTGTGCAATCTAGAGGGTTGTTGGCACCGAGGGGGCCAGTTCCTGTCATGGATTGAACCGGATACTGCGGATGTCTGATTGGACTGTGATCCGATTCCCTACTTCCAGCAGCAAAAAAATTCTGTCCTCCACCCTTTATCATCCATGCTTTCCGCTTATGCGAGCCAAAGCTGTTGACAAGAAGCCTTGGGGATCTTGGTGCATGATAAGCATCTCGAATCTGAAGGCCACGCGACTTACTGCAAAGTTTTATGTCAGGAGGAGACACGGCTCCGAATGCTTGACCGGGCTCGGATCGATCGACGTTTTGCGGAGTTCGATACGCGTTCCAGGCCTAACGACAAAATTTTCTCGGATTCGCGGCGCCATCAGCTTGCCTTTTGACATTTGACACTGTCACAGGTCCACGGGGTATTTGGAGATTGGGGGGCCAATGGGAGTAGGAAGCTGGCAGACCGTATCAAATCTCAAGCGCCGCAAGCTGATAGACGACAAGCGACTGCCGATAGGACTTGGCCATATTCAATTCCGATGCCCAGAAAGCCCAGAATATTAACAGGCAGGGTGCGTCCGCCGGTCAGAATCTGGTGTGAAATGGCGTGTTACACCTGACCAGCTTGGAAAGAACTGTCATGAGAACTGCCTGCATTTCGGTAGCGGTGGATGGTTCCCCAAATATGCAAGTCTAGGCTGGAGACGCTACTCCTTAGCTGCAACAGATGCAATCATTGAAGGTGTGTGTGTGAGCCGCTTCCCTCATGCTGTCCATGTCGTGACGCGGCCAATCTCGAAAGAGAAGCGTGATTCCATGTTTGCTGCGAGCAAGGCTCTAAGAAAGCGCGTGAACTCCAGCAGAAGAGCATCACACTAGTCTTCGGGGATCAGCCATCTACAAGTATATCTCTTGGAAATTACAACCTGGCCACGCAGATGGGGCAAGGGCTCTTTCAAGAAGGACAAGAACTTCTGGTGATTGCGTTCAGTTCGAATAACAAGACGTTAATGCTGGACATGACAGGTCTGATGACAGGCGAAGGGCCTCAACTGATCTCTCATCACTGGTGCCACCACCACCTTGATAGGTAAGCCACAAGCGCCGTGGCCAGGACTACCAAGTACATATACAACGCCACTTCCCGCGCACCCGAAGTGTGGCGCCGCCATCCACTACTCCCCCATCGTGTAGGGTGTATTAGCCTCACTAGCCGATATTAGCCAATCTTCAGGTTTCGAATTGTGAATATGGTACCGATGAGGATCCAGAGCAGGAATCATGGAAGAGAAATCTGGGTCATTAATATCAAACCTGGGAACCCACCCAAAAGACAGGCCCGGTTCTAATCTACATTCGAGGTCTTTTACCTGGTTCTATATGGTACTGGTATCCCGGCATAATGGACAAAATCTCGACGACATACTCGATCCGAGATATCAGCCACGATATCGCGTCGTGCCCCCAATCCATTGGTAATGATACATGTTATGTGCACCAGCAATTTACCATCTCGGCGTGCTGGCTCCAAGCAAGGATCACATCCTTCCCTGGGATGATTCGTCTGAATTCGTTTACCGCGCGATCGAAGTTGGGCTCACGACGATTCGTCATGGCGAGGAGAAGTGGTTACTGGAGCCACGAAGGCAGCAGCATCCTCGAGTTCTGTATCCCTCAGCGGGCCTTCTTCTCAAGCCTTTGGCGCGGGCTTCTTCGTGTCTTGCTTCTTGCTCGACTTTCCCCAACCCAGGGCTCTTGAACTTTGTCAACAAGTTGCTTCACCACCCACACAGAAGAGGCGAGTGTCCGTGCTTACTTACATTCGCGACCAAGGGTCTTCATACACCTCTCTGTCCACCTCGGCCCTGTCAACAAGACGTTGCAGTGAACCTGGCAGACGAGGCTTCCTGAGAAATGATTTCTTGTTGTTGTCTTGCTCGACCTTGCTGGACTGCTTTGGTTGTTGTGGTTGGACTTGTTCCGAAGTCTGTGGACCTGGACTATTGTTGCTCATGTCATGTCAGATCGTGGGACCCATGTGTAGGCGGGAGAGACAATTGCCAATGGAGACTTACGCTCGACTCCATGGATCTTCGTACAGGTCTCTTTCCTTCTCGGCCTTGTCAACGAGGTTCTGCAGCGGAGCCGGCAGGCTGGAGCTTGATGACGACCTGCGATGGGCCGATGTGTTTTCCGTACTGAGGGGATTCATGAAAGGTTGTTGTGTGTTCCACTACGGTACAGTGTGAAGGATGGTGTTATGGGATGTATGGTAAAAACCGGTTTTGTTGTTATGCGTTTTGTTCGCTCGGTGGCTTTTGTAACACTGGTGGTCAAATCCTGTGGTCCTTGTCAATCCTTTATACTCGCTTCCCCCCATGGGGTGAGCGCGCACTCGGGCACACAATATTCCCGCGTCCTACTTGTTACACTGACAATCAGACAAGCGACGGGTTCGGCGCAAACTCGGCGTCTGTCGTCATCAGCTGCCTTTTGTCCTCGAGCAGTGAGGCAGGACCCTTCTACATCATCGTGCAGGAGAAACGACAAGCGAGATGCGAGAATTGTCCGACCACCACCCAAGCCCAAACCCCGCGAGCCCCTGGAGTTCTCTACACCTATATGATCTCCCGGAAGCCCGTTGCGGTGTTGTTACTCGTCAACGAACATGCATTATATCTGTAACACATTGGGGTACATATGGACAGCGTCATAGAGAAGGTGATCATTGGTTTTTTGCAAAGCGCTCGCGTGGGCCAGGATATGTTTTCTGGGGATGTTTGATGCACGATTTTGTTCATGCTGGCGTATGGTATGTATGTATGTATGTATGTATGTCCCATCATACGCGATGCGAGGCATAGGGCCCATTCTGGTCGAGGCTTCTGCCTTCTCCGTATGAAGCTACTCGCTGCTCAGTACCCATTGCTCTGTGCGCGGTGCGCTGTATCCTGCACTTTGGACTGTAGATTCTGCGTGCAGATCGAACAGGTCAAATAGGGGAGGGCCAGGTTTGTTGCCTATGGCGGGAGTCGTAAGGCTTGAGGTACAAGCTATAAGGTATGGGGTTCGAGGCATGAAGAAGCATAAGGCATGAAGCATCGAAAAGCCTTGTTACTACATCTGACGACCTAGCTGGTTTATTCTCGCCCAAGGCAAAGTATGTATATGGATGGATGCCTGGACAACACTGAACAATCAATCGATCATTCACTCCGTCGGTCGAATGCAAATGGGGAATGAATCTTGCATTACTTTCCATCAGTCATCATCACGATCACCACCGCCATCATGATGCAGTCGCTTCCTCGTTGAACTTCAAGTCTAGGCCCTCTAAGTCTCCCTTGGCCCTCCACTCCCTCAACAAGTTTAGAAAAGCCGGCGCACCACCGCCGTAACTGGCATTCCTAGCAGCCCCCGGAATGCTCGTGCCCTCGTTGTTATAATAACCCGGTGTGCACCCGGAAAGGAATTCAGCGCGCAGCATGGCCATCTTCAGGATCGTGTTGATCCAATCCTCCTCGGCCTCCGCGGTCGGTTCGACCGTCCGGACGCCCCGCTTTTGACACTCGGAGATCACGTACGCAAGATGTTCAGCCTGCTCCCCCGTCACGTGCAGGAAGTTGGGAGACAGCGCGGCCTGCACAATCTGCACCCAGAAGCAGTTGGGGAAATCACGCGTTGTCCAGCCGTGCAAGGTGCGCGATCCGTCTTTCCAGCATTCGGTGATGGTCTGGCCGTTGCGCCCCGTCACCTCCATGTTGGAGCGATGGCTCCATTCAGTCGCCAGCTCGAAGCCTGTAGCGTAGATGAGGGTGTCGAGCTCGTACAGTTGGCCGTTGGCCACAACCCCCGTTTCAGTGATGGCGTCGACGCCCTTGCCTGCCGTGTCGATCAAGTGCACGTTGGACCGATTGAATGCGTCCAGGTATTCGTCATGGAAGCATGGTCGTTTGCACAGCTGGTTGTACCACGGCTTCAAAGCTGCTGCGGTCACAGGATCCTTGACCACCTCGTCGCAGCGTGCCCGAACAGACTCCATTTTCTCATAGTCTGCGATCTGGCGCTGCGCTGCGGCTTTGGCCGGGTCAGCGGGCTCATTGTCCACTGTAGGCTGCCAGCGTGCGAGCAGCTTATGCAAGATGTCCGTCCAGCCGTCGTTGACGAGGTCGACGGGTGCGATGCCGCCATTGACGATGATGTTAAAGTTGTCCATGCGCTCCTTTTGCCAGCCTGGCTTGAGCGATGCGGCCCACTCGGGGTCTGTTGGCCGGTTTCCACGAACGTCGATCGAGGACGGCGTCCGTTGGAAGACGTACACCTCCTTGGCCCATTTTCCTAAATGAGGCACAATTTGAACGGCAGTTGCGCCGGTGCCGATGATGCCTACACGTTTGTCGGAGAGCTTATGGAGGTTACCGGTCGTGTCACCGCCAGTGTAGTTGTAATCCCACCTGGAAGAATGAAAAGAGTGACCTTTGAAAGACTCGATCCCCTCGAGGCCGGGAAGCTTTGGACGATGTAGAGGTCCAGCAGCTGGAATGACGTACTTTGACCGGATTGTATCGCCCCAATTGGTCTTTGCCGTCCATAACGAAGTCTTCTCGTCCCACTCCAGACTATGCGTCTCGGTCTGGAACAATGCTTTGTCGTACAAACCCCAGCGACGACCGATCATTTCAGCGTGTTTCAGGAGTTCGTTGGCTCTGGCGTATTTCTCCGTCGGCATGTAGTTGAGCTCTTCGAGCAGAGGCATGTATATGTACGATTCAATATCGCATTGAGCACCCGGATATCGATTCCAATACCTATTGACGTGTTAAGAGCAGCTCTCTTCGAGAAACTTCACGCGATTGTAAGTAGGATTAGGCTCACCAGGTCCCTCCAAAGTCACCTGCTTTCTCAATGATGCGTAAATTGGTCACACCGGCTTCAATGAGCCGAACGGCCACGAGCTGAGCGCCATATCCGCCGCCGATAATAACAACGTCGACTTCCTCGTCGATCGGACCTCGTTGGAAACCAGGCTCTACCCATGGATCCTTGAGGTAGTGGGCAAAAGGGCCATCGTGCTCGACAAGACGATATTGGTTGATACCGCCTTTCTCTTGGCCATACTTTAGCCTTTTATCACGTTCCTCCATGTACTTCCGCTTCAACGCATCAGGGTCGAAAGGAAGGTCATTGGGTTTAGAGGCCAAAGAAACATTGGACTCGAGCGTCGCCTTTGGGGGCTTTGGACCCAAGAGATCAGATGGAACAAGGACCTCGACTGAGCCCATCTTAATCTGATCAATGCAGTCACACCGGTTTGGGCCAAGCTTTGGGTTGTTTAGAAAACAAGAAGTCTCTCTGGACGCCTTGCTGATGCGTCTGTGACTGTCAATAACAGTAGGGTAGCCTTCAATCTATTCACGATCTGTCAATGAGGTGACCTCGGCAGAACAGGAAGGCAGATGGAAGAGCCAGTTCTTTCTGCTGAGATATATGGGATTCTGGCTGTTTGACTCTCGGGGCCGAACTGTGTTACCGCATCAATGCCGAAAAGGCTGGAACCAAATTTCTCAGAATGAGACAAGAGTATAGACTCGTAAAGTAAACCGCGGACGATTGGCGGTTATCTCAATGTCCCCCGCATCCGTCTCTCGGGTTGCATGGCCATTCAGATACCGAGGTCTGAAGGGTGTGAATGGGGAATGCGTTGCGAAAAAGATCACGTCTCTGACCTCGCAGTGTTATTCGAGATTGGCTTTCGAACCGAACACGGATGCTGTATTGGCCTCGCACTGGTTACCCAAAACAGCCTGCCTCGGCAGTAGACTACATACGAAAATGGTCGTGCAACAATCCAAGATCGCTGCTTCTGCGGGGTCTTGCCAGTGCTGGCAATTGTGATTTCATTCTGTTCGGGCCGAATACTTGTCACAGATGTGATATAAGAAGGGCAAGTAAGCAGAGCGGTATCAGCAGGAGCCAGAGACGACCCGACGACTTAATTGCTCCACCGATCGTTTGGACAAAAGCAACATGGCTGCAAACGGCGATACAGCGCGGTCTTCTGCGCCTGTGGCCTATATCACCGGCGGTGCGAGCGGGATGGGGTTGGCAGTTGCCCAAGAGCTGGCTGCCAAAGGCTGGAACTTGACAATCGTCGATCTCAATGGAAAGTCGATATCATCAGTGGAATCCAACTTTGACCCAAAGAGAACCATGTTCGTCCAGGCCGATGTGACAGACTATGAATCGCAGGCGAAAGCCTTCGCTCAGACTTGGGACAAGTGGCACAGACTGGACTTGGTGTTTGCGAACGCTGGCATTGGTGATAGAATCAACTTCTATGCGCCCGCCACCGAGTTTCTGCCAAACCTGCCAGGGGTGCCTGCGAAGCCGGACGAGCTGGTTATCGATGTTTGCCTGAATGCAATGGTGTACAGTGCCTATTTGGCTATGCACTTCTTCCGAAAGAACCCTTCGAAAGCGGGCAAGATAGTTTTCACCTCTTCCATGTGCGGGTACGTCAGCGATGTTAGCATTTGCCAGCCGACCGAATCCTTTGAACATTTCTTTTTCTCGTCTTAGTCCAATACAACCACTTACCGTTTCCGCACAGGCTATATCCGGGAGACACTATACCTCTATACACTGCAGCGAAACATGGAATTGTGGGCCTGGTTCGCGCCATGGCCAGACGGTTGAAGACGCTCGGCGAGCCGATCACGGTGAACTGTATCTGTCCCGGACTTGTCGATACTGGGTTGACAGGAGTGTTGATGTCTGTCGCTCCGCCCGAATACGTGACACCAAAGTCGACCATTGTGCGAGCTGTAATGGGGTTTGTGGAGGATGACTCTCTCACGGGGCAAGCAGCCGAATGTAGTATCGACAAGATCCACTACAGAAAGCAGCCCGAATGGGGAGATGAAGGTGCAGAGTACATCATGACGAACAAGTTGGAGGCAGAGCTCAAAAAGAGAGGCGTCAACTTTGATAGGAAGGACTAGGTTCGTGTGAGGGCTGATCAAGGCTGAGGTTGGTGAAGGGAAGTGGTCACAGTGGTCTGCAAAAGGACGAGACTCGTTGCTGGCTCTGTTGTCTCATTGTTTTGGTCTGACGTCAATCTTCAACGCGTCCGTGGCTTGCGCAACGCGACGCGTTCCATTTCATCGTTGCTTCACCCCGAGGTATCAAAATTCATCTCATTGCTCCGCACACCGTGCTTCATACATACTCACCAAATGCTGGCGGCCATTCCAGCCGCGCAGATGCAGCTTTGTAAAGCTCAAGGCCCCTTCAGGCCTTGCCCGAGAATGCTTTGTGCGCATAAAATTCCGCCACGAGGAATCCTTGAACTGGGCATTAAGTTCCCATTTCGAGCTGGCTTAGCGCCTTTCTTCGGCAAAGGATGAATCGGTTCTGTTCGGCAGCTTGTCAACGTAAACTCAACTCAACCTAGGTTATGTCGCCATTACCGAGCTGCGAACAACTACCCTTGGCGTGGCATGGAAAGTTGATGCGAGTTCGTGGTGCAGGAGTTCCCGTGACCAACAAGCACATATTCTCTAGAGAGACCAAAGGACTTGCTGCTGTCTCTGAAGGCTGAGCCTAACCGGTTCAAACGATCCACATGTTTGATTTGCCAGGATAGCTCTTTCCAACAATGACATCTGTCCGATACTCACCCTCTTTCGCTGACCGCGAAGACTTCAGGAATGCCATGCGCGGGTTGATCGCATCTCAAGACCCATGCGTTATCTGAGCTCGAAATGGTCGCGTTTTGTGGGACAACGATGCATATGCTTTCCTCAAAGATGACTGTCCTACAACTGCAGACCCTAAGCTCTGGCGGCAAGGCCAACTGAATTCGATCCAAGGCCTGTTCAAGGTTAACGATGGCATCTACCAGGTGCGTGGTTTCGATATCTCCAATATGACGATCGTGGAAGGTCAGACTGGAGTTATTGTTATTGATCCTCTTATTTCGGTGGAATGTGCACAAGCAGCGCTGAACCTCTACCAAAGCCATCGAGGTGCCAGGAAAGTCACTGGATTGATCTATTCACACTCTCATGTGGATCATTTTGGTGGTGCTCAAGGTGTTCTACTTGACCATTCGTCAGCAAATGTGCCCATTCTTGCTCCCGAAGGCTTCATGGACGCTGCCCTAAATGAAAACATTTTCGCAGGACCATCAATGCGCAGACGGGCTGCTTTCATGTACGGAAACAAGATCCCAAAAGGGCCAACAGGTCAGATCGGATGTGGACTTGGTATGACAACTTCAGCTGGAACTATTTCTATGGTCCCACCCACTGTTTTGGTCAAGATCACCGGTGAAGAACATGTCGTCGACGGAGTCAGAATCGTGTTTCAGGCAGTGCCGGAGACGGAAGCCCCAGCGGAAATGAATTTTTACTTTCCGGACCACGGGCCCTATATATTGCAGAGTGCGCCACTCACTGCATGCATAACATCGTCACTCTTCGTGGTGCTGAGGTGCGGGATGCGAAAGTCTGGTCACGATATCTGGACGAGACTATCGTCCTCTTTGGTGAGATTTCAGATGTCCTATTTGCCGGCCACAACTGGCCGACTTGGGGCTCGGCCAAGATCATCAAGCTGGTCTCAGAACAACGAGACCTGTATGGATATATGCACGACCAAACTGTGCGACTGATGAATGCTGGTTTGACAGGTATTGAGATCGCGGAAATCATGACATTGCCACCCGCATTGCAGCAGGCTTGGCACGCTCAGGGCTACTATGGATCGCTGAGCCACAACATCAAGGGTATCTATCAAAAGTACATAACCTGGTTTAATGGGAATCCGGCACATCTGTGGCAATATCCTCCTGCCGAGGAAGGAAAGCGTTATCTGTCTTGCATGGGTGGCGTCGATGAAGTTGTCAAAAAGGCCGAGACCTTTGCGAAAGAAGGTGATCTCCGCTTTGCGACGACGCTGCTTGGTCACACCGTTGCCGCAGAGCCTGCCCACGGAAAGGCAAGGGCCGCTCTTGCATTGGTATTTGAAAAGCTCGGATTCGGTGCAGAAAATGCCACCTGGCGTAATGTCTATCTCACCTCGGCCCAGGAACTGCGATCTGGCCGGAACACTGAAAGAAGTCTTACTGCCATGGATGAAGTGAATCCAGGACTGTCTGTCGAGCAATGGCTAGCGGGGCTCTCTGTTCGAATTGACGGGCCTAGAGCCGCGCGACAAAATTTTGCGTTCGGCTTACATGTCGTCGATACAGGAGAAAAGTGGAAGTTGATCATGAGCAATGGTGCTCTGACGTATCGAAGGCAGCCCGGGAATGCCAGTGACGTCGACTTGACATTGAAGAAAGCAGAGCTTCGGCAAATGTTGGAGAGTAACCTGAAGCTCCCCCCTGTTCAATCACGAGGCGACCTAGGTTTGATGAGGCTCCTTTTGTCCCTTGTCTCGGGCGCAGACTCGAATGAAGCGCGAAACAGTCATATATAGGATTGTCTGGACGCCACGACTCGAACAGTACCAATCATTTTGCAGACCAGATATATAACGTACAGGCCTGATACACATCTGGCTTAATTTTGGGGACGGCATCTGTTCCCCTTTTTCTTCGTCCAGCCCTCAACGGCGATCTCGCAGCATAGAAGGGCTTGGCAAAAACGTCTCGAACTGTTTGTGATGTATCTCCGAGGAGACTTGGGACGGCCCCAATAGCGCGGAGTCTTCTTTGGTCGCACGATCGAGGTAACCTTTTGTCCATTGTTTCCAACGCCAGAACCAAGATCAAACGTGTGGTCACGAACTATATCCGCTGACAGACACAAATCCCCGTCTCTTCTTTAAGAGGTGGTCAAGTAAGGTGAACAACCGACACGAGCAGACTAAGGATGCTTACTTGAAGGCAACTGGTGTGTCACCGCCCCCTTTGCTGGGCAATGTTGAAGTTGAAGCCTTGGAGGGATACCGCAGTTAGTGCGCATCGCACCTAAGCGTATCAACCCACCAAGTCAGGGTCCTTCCAGGTTTCTAGAATGAGCATGTGTCAATCAAAAGCTGGTGGATGGGTGCTCCCGTCTATTGAAGATCCTGGAGAAGTGCTCAGGGGAGAATGGAAGGACGGGTTGCCTTGCAGTGCCACGCGATCAGGGTTTCTCGACCGATAAATGGCTGGACCAGGCTGCAGACCCATGTGATCGGCTCGCACTCGGTTTGCCGCCTCAGGCCGTTCCGCTTCAGCTTCCACTTCCGCTCCCGAGTGCTCGTGCTGGCTGGCCATACATCATCGACCCATACACCACCTACACACTACACCAGTTTCACCACTTGCAACACGACTGACATGTCCGTGAAATGTCAATCTTTGACCGCTTGCAGAATTCTCCCCACAACTCCGTTCCCGCATTCCAGCCCGCTTTATGATGTGGGACAAGGCGGTTCTCGCGGGCCTGTTGTGGGGTAAGCATAAGCGTGGTAAGGCTGTGCAGCGAACATTTAAAGAGTGAAGGCAAAGCAACTTGTAGAGTTCTAGACGGTCAGAAAGAGGAAAAGGACCGGAGACTACAGAGGTCATCATCCTATCTGTCCCCTGACTGGTACGGTATATCCCTGATATCATTGGAGATGGCGTTCTCTCCCGTCATCTTCTATTTGGGCGGTGTCCTTTTCATTGCGTACTGCATCAATTGCATAAGGATAGCTTTTCGACCGGGCCTTCGAAGCCTGCCGGGCCCCTTGTCTGCCAGATTCTCCCGTTTATACCGTTTGTCTCTGGTCGCTGGAGGTAAAGCTCCTGCGGAGTACAGGAAGGTCCATGAGGAGTACGGTCCGATTGTTCGCGTGGGTCCGAATCACGTCTCGATCGCAGACCCGTCTGAGATCCCTCTGATCTATGGAATCGGGAGCAAATTTCTCAAGGTGCTTCTTACCCAGCACTGTTGAGGAGGGAAACAGTTCTCTAATATTCGACCCAGACTGATTTCTATAACACGATGAGTCCCTCGTACCAGGGCAAGCCCATGCCCAGCGTCTTCACCGAGCGCGATCCCATAGCCCACCGGAACCTGAAGAGACCCGTTGCCCAGTTATTCGGGATGACAAACATGCGAAACTACGAGCCGTACGCGGACGAATGCACCGGCATATTCATCGACGCCATGCGTGATCTGGAGGGTCAACCCGTTGATCTTTCAGCCTGGGTTCAGTGGTACGCCTTTGATGTCATTGCGAGCATGACGTTCCAACGACGCTTTGGTTTCCTCGAGGAACGCCGCGACATTAACAACATGATCGGAGACCTGTGAGTTGACCTTCCCGGCTCGTCTTTTTAAGTCTGACGCAGCCGTTATAAGAGTGGCTAACAAACAAGCCTCAGTGACGGAGGCTTGCATTACGTCAAGATCATCGGCCAATACCCAGAATTCCATCCATGGCTGCTTGGGAATCGGACAGTTGTGCGAACCTTGAAGTGGCTTTTCCCACAAATCCCCGATGCGCTGTATAGGTTTCTGAAGGTATGGAAGGCCCCAGTTCCACGAACAACGGGCCGGGGGGGGTTTCTTCTTCCGGACGCTGACAGAAAATCGCAAAAACGACCAGGTCACCGAAGACGAGATTGTCCGGTACGACACCCAAGGAGGAGGAGAGAAGACGGGGCGGACAGATTTCCTGGCGCAGCTGAGGGAGAAAGAGGCCAAAGATGGGAAAATCCCGTTTAGGGACATGATGAACCATCTGTCCAACAACATCGTTGAGTTTTCCTCACATTGGTGATGAATGGGTGAAACACAGGCAGGGCATTTATTCGCTGACTCGAGAATATAATAGATTGCCGGCTCCGATACCACGGCGGTCTCGTTGCGCGCGTGCTTTTACTACCTCATCAAAACGCCACGGGCGTACGAGAAGCTCGTGGCAGAGATCGACGAAGCGGAGAAAAAAGGACAGCTGTCGACTTACATATCGTATGAGGAATGTCTGAAGCTTCCGTACTTGTACGTTCAATCGCGAGCCGCTTGGTCGCCCCAGCCCATGGTCCCCGCCCTCGTTGGAAGAGCTGAAGTAACATGCATCGCAGGCAAGCCGTGATGAAAGAGGCCATGCGCTTGCACCCGGGCGTCGCCCTGCCGCTGGAGCGGTACGTGCCCCCAGAAGGCGCAACAATCTGCGGCGTCGACCTCCCCGGCGGCACCAACGTCAGCATCACAGCGCCCGTCGTACACATGGACGGGGCCATCTACGGCAGCGACGTCGACGCATTCCGCCCTGAACGCTGGCTCGAAGCGTCGCCTGAGCAACTGAAACTCATGGATCGGAGCTTCCTCGCGGTACGTCACTTACCTAACTTACGAGCCACGACCCCAACTTTCATCCTCTGTAACATATTCCCCTGTCTTCTCCTTTTCTTTTCTTTCTTTTCTTTCCTCTGTTTTTACTCTCCCTTTCTTCTTCTTGTTTCCCACCATCCACCCTGACGCATGGAACCCAGTTCGGCGCCGGAGCGCGCACGTGCATCGGCAAGAACATCTCCATCCTCGAGATGGGCAAGTTCATCCCGCAGATCCTGCGCCACTTCGAGATCGAGTGGGCGTCGAGCGAGCCCGAGTGGAAGACCGAGGCCGTCTGGTTCTGGAAGCAGTCCGGCGTCATTGTCAAGTTCAAATGGCGAGGAAAATATTGAAAGAGAAAAAAGGAGAGGGAGGGAGGCGGAGAAGGGCCCAGATCTCCTTGGGGAGGGAATTACGATGGGCGGGCAGTGTACGTTTGAGCGGCTGGATCAGCCTCCCCCTCCCCCAAGAAGAATGGTCTTCTCCGGGTATCACCCCATGCTCGATAAGGATTTATTACCATATTGTCTCTTGAGGTACACTGAACTTATACCTGTCCTCGGACGTGCGAAAGGAATCCCATATTTGCTATCTAAAGCAATTCAACGCTTTTCTTTCAGGTAAATAGAAACTGGCATACAATGCAGTCGATCTTCGCATCTACGTGACTACTAGGCAGGTAGTCGTCTCCACCGATTAGTGAGCCCACTCAACGGCAAGCTTGCTCTGGATACAGGCTTCGTTTCCAAAGGGCGGCTGGCCAAAAAGGCTAGGTGGAGGAGAAAAAGAGCCAGACAGCTGGGAAGTCTTGTCTACCTAGTCCAAGTGTGAGGCGCTAACTTCAAGGTTTTAGACACAAAACTAGGTACCTTACCTCGTAGGCATACCAATGACCTTGTAGCAACGATGCCCCGCAAAGAATGTCCCAGAGTGGATGCATTTGCCGCGTCTTTAACTTCGAAACAAACCGTACTCCAGGGTGGAGAGGAGGTGGTCCCGCCCTAATGTTCACATGGCAAAGAAACACAGGCACGGGAAGAGTAATCCTGGATCAACCCATGCGGGCATCGTCGATCGGAGCCAGACGTATGGCAGGTTTCCCTGCTTGTGAATCAATGAATCCACCGAGAAAATTTCAGCTCGATAGGAGAGAGAGAGCGATCTGGACATTGCGCGAATACCTTGGAAGGGCAACTTTTCAACCCGAGATCGCATGCCGGCCATAGAAGAATGCCGCGCAGGCGGGGTGCTCCTGAGATCGCGGCTTTGCTGATAGGTGAGAAAAGAGCTTGAGTCTTATGGGGTTCGAGATCAGACAATTCTGCAGCTGCCCAGGAGATGAAGCCCTATGTCTGCCTGAAGAAAGAGAATCGTTCCAGGTGGAGCAGCGCCAGGATGCCTGGCTCGAGCGATGAAGAGCCTAGACGGGAGCTTCAAGAGAAGAATTCCCGCCCACGAAGTTGCAAAACTGGACTCCTCTCTCAATTTCTACCCGAAACAAAAAGTTAAGACGCGAGGTCTCATCGTGTCCTTTCGGGGAAGTCCATGTCGGTGCGGATAGAGCAGAGTCTGGGCGGTCGATATCAAAGCGTGCCGCATTTCCTTGCCGCTGGCTAGGATGGCCAGCTTTCTGTGCCTTGCATTTGTCCATTGGGTGTTCGGAGCAGACGGCTCGAAAAGATCGGGCCAAAACGCCACTGATCACCTTGAAAGGGAGAGAATCCTGGCATCTTGGAAGCCAGCAAAGAGCATGGGAACTCCCCGGATCGGTGGGGTATTCCATGCTTTGAGAAGAATATTTGGTCTTGAATTGACTTTGCTAGCTCAGGCACGCTTGATGAGGGGTGAGTGGATCGCTGTGGTTGAGGGTATCCCTCCACCATGGTCAGGTCCTTGTCTTCTCTGCGAGGCGGGTGATCGAATGTGGTTTAAATAGTGGCTGCTGGAAACTTGTTCCATTTACAGACCAGCACGCATCCAACGAGGCTGGCAATGTCAATACTCCAAGGATCTGGTGGGTGAACTAGTGAATCCTGTGGCACATGGGTACGGAGGAGCGCTGGATGGCCCAGTAGCTGCCTCGGCTGTGCATAGAATCGTCGCGGCATCGGCCCAAATCAGGCCCTAGGCAAGAGGGAATCTCGTACCCGGCTGCAGATTCCCGCGAGA